GGCCACCTGCCTTGCAAGCGAAGGGTCCTGAGTTCAATCCCCAGTACATTAAATAAAAAAAAAAAAGCTAAATGTACATGCAGAAAAGGAACATCTGCGCAAGTTCACCTGGACGCACTGGTTAGTAGTGTGGAACCCACTGGCCCGTGTGACCACCCTGAACTGTCTGAACGTCGCTTGCTGTGTCCCTGGGAGCTTGGCCTTCCAAGGGTGCTGGGCAGGTTTTCAGCCTCCAAAAGTCGTTGCGAGTCCCAGGCACTTCAGCACCCCTTGGTGACCCCTGGCCTGGTGTTCTGATCCCCACCTGCCACCACTAAGCCAAGGGCAGACACCCAGGCACCCAGTGACCCAGCTCTGGGTGGCTGCAGGTACCCAGGCAGGTGTGTGGCCAGAAGCCTCTCCACCACGCTTGGGAGGAAGCCCTTCAGACCACTGGGGAAGACATCCCTTAGCCACAGGGAAGCCTGTTTAGACAGGAAGTTTTGGGTGCCAGGGAGGCAGGTGACACCCCCGCACCATCAGACTGGAGAGAACTAACTGGCTGTGAAATACACGGGTCAGTTCATGGGACCCAGACCCAAGCCAGGTCCTACCCAGGAGATTAGGCCTCGCGTCCTGGCCCCACCTCAGACACAGGTACTGGGTGGTCTCCGGCAAGTGGAGAAAGATGACCCAGGATCTCGACCCTCACCAGGAAAAAGATTTGAGAGTACGAGAATCGGTATTCTTAGCCCCTTGTATGGCTTCTTTTAGAAAGGTTTTCATACTTCTTAAACATATTCACATGGGGTTTTAAAGTGTTTTGGCATTTAAGCTCCTGACCCTCCAAGAGTTGATACTGACTGTGGGGTGCAGGAGAGGCCACATTTTATTGTTCTCATGTGGATTATCATTTTCCTGGATTCCCTTTACCCACCTGTCCCTCCTCCGTTCTCTATAAACACAGTACATCTAAACCCCAAAGGATCCCCACTTCTTCCGTTTCCTCCTCAGTGGGGCAACCCTGGCCACAGTTCTCAGGAAAGTCCTGTGTGGAACTATGGCATGGAGGTCAGGCCCAGGCCCCTTCTGACTTGGGTGGTGGCTGGCTTGGTGCTGGGGAATGGGGGTGCGGAAGGGGCCTGGAGGGTCCTTGAGCTAGGAAGCTACTTCCATGGGGCACTGACCGGCATATTCCATCCCTCTGAACCTCCACTATTCAGAGTATTTATCTTCAAAATGAGGAATTAAAACAGTCCTACCCACTTGTGGGTAAGGAGTGAAACCAGGCCAGGAAAACATTTTGACAGCATCTGGGACACTGAAGGACATTGGCTGTGTGTCATGGTCTACACATGAAGCTGGAGGGAATGGGGTGCTGCTGACCTGGGGGTGCCTCTCCCTGCTCACATCATGCCGGGCTTTGCAGGTGCAGAGCTACATGGAACACCACTGCTACAACTCTACGGACCGGCGGATCCTGCTCATGTTCCTGGACATCTGTTCGGAGCTGAACAGGCTCTGCCAGCACTTCGAGGCCGTGCACTCTGGCACCCCGGTCACCAACAACCTCCTGGAGAAATGCAAAACCCTGGTCAGCCAAAGCAATGACCTGAGCAGCCTGAGAGCCAAGTAAGTCTCCCAGACCCTGCTGGAGAGGCTTTGCTGTGTGGGGAACCTGTAGGGAGGGCCAGTGACCCGGAGCTGGGTGTGGGGCCTGTGCTACTGTTCAGACTCGGGGAATCCTAGTCCCCGCCAATGTACTGCAATGACGCTGACTCCGCAAAACTGTAGGCACAAAGTGTCTCGCTGGACTTAGCACCAGGCCCAGGGAGAAAGGCTTACACAAGAGCTGCTCCCAGGAGCTTACGAAGGTCCTCACAGGGACACAAAGAAATGGGGCCCAGGGCCAACCCCACGGGCGGCAGCACTGCCATGGTGGATCCTGCCCCCAACCCCGGGGAACACAGTGCCCAAGTCTCGGTAGTGTGTTTTGAAAAGATGACAGGAATCCCTCAGCCCCTAATCCAGGCTCCCCTAACCACAGGTCAGTGGTCCACAGCTCCTACCTTTCCCATCAGAAATACCCAGGGCACTCAGCACCAACCCTGTGGAACCGGAACCTGTGCACAGCAGTTCTCAAAGCTTTTGGGGTGACTGTTGGGCTCACCACCGCCCTGGCCGTCCTGCAGGTACCCTCATGGTGTGGTGAACCACCTCAGCTGTGACGAAGCCAGGAACCACTATGGGGGCGTGGTCAGCCTCATCCCCCTGGTCCTGGACACCGTGAAAGAATGGATCGCCCACTCGGAGAAGCTGCCCCGCAAGGCGCTGCAGCATGTGAGTGTGCCCCCAGCTCACCAGAAAGCCACTGGGGCAGCCACTCAACCTCTGCCTTGGCTAAGAAAACTCAAGTGTAGGCAACTTGGGAAAGACAACCTCAGACCTAGGGGGAAAGACAAAGGACATTCCAAACCCCCCTGGAGGCCACCTGGTGGGAAACTGTAACCCAGGGCCAGGGACCTGCTGCACTTTGGGTGCTGTTTAATCAGTTTCGTTCAAACTGGTTGACCCATTCTTGCTGGTACTCCCAGTCCCTGCCGTGAACCCTGAAGGGGGCCAATACACTGCTGAGAATCTCTCTTCTCGCTTTCACTTCTAACTCTTTGATTCCAATCTCTATGGTATGGATGAGGATCCCCACTTAACAAACTCCCCAAACAGTGTGGTGTTGGTAGTGGGTGTCCAGAGGAGGGGCACTGAACCAGCGCCCACCAGTGTACCTGGGCTGCTCCAGCTGTGGCGCCTGGGCAGTGAGGAGAGGCCTGAGCTCTCTGTAGGACAGAGTTGCTCCTGCTGCCCAATGGGAGCTCAAGGGTCAGGCTGTGTTCAGAACAAAGGGGATGAACCCAAACATCCCTCTCCTTTACTTGGAAAAAGGAGGCCATGACAGAAGCTGAAGAACTCTATTCTGTGGCTCTTGAGCAAGCACTGTTAAGGCCTGGACACTGTAAAATGTGTCCCTGGCTTCTGAGTGTGAGGAAGTCACGCTGACTGTTGGTTTTTCCCTTCGCAGGGTATGACTTAGCTTCTGTATTGTTGCTTCCTCGGGGGGAGACAGTCAAGAATAAAGTGTTCTACCACCTTTCTGCCTGGCTTGCTTTCCTGGGGTTTAGCCCTGAAAGAAAACCCGTGTTTCTCCTAAGACATCCAAGTTCACACAGGTGAAGTTCCTCAGAGACAAGGGACAAGTGTACACTCATCTCCAGAAAAGGACCGAAAAGGTTCATGCTGCAGGGCCAAGGCCAGGCTGCAGACGCCAAGGGTGGAAAGTAGCTCCTTGTCTAGTGAGAAAACCTGAAATTTTCAGACAGATCCCAAACTGCCACTTCTGAGTTTGTCTCCCAGGAGCTGCCTCTGCCACTAAGATGGGCAGAGCAGCACTGAGCTCCAGGGGCAGCTCAGCCGAGGCACGCGCCTGACAGCCCCACTGTGACACACTCCTCTTCCCCATTCGTCAGGCTGTGCGACTAGGAGCCAGGGTGGACCTCAGAATCAAGGAAAGGGCATTTCCTGTCTTCTGCTGAATGCCCGAGGGGCAGAGCAGGTGGTGACCATCACTGTGCCCTCCCTTGGTGCACACACAACCGCAGCTGGCAAGGCTCAGAGCCAGCGAGACTGCAGCAGAATAAACCTGCTGGCTTCTGCAGAAAAAGAGTCCAGGAAACACAGCCCGGCCAGCCCCTTGGGGCACAGGCACTGAGAGCCAGGCCGGACAAGGGTGCAGACCAGCAGCTGGCTGGCTTTCAGGGTTTCCCTGGTAGATGAACACCAAGTGATTCTTTGGGGCAGAGCAGATTTTTGAGGCAGAAGTTTACGTGTCACTGATTTCCCAGGACATGAACGCCCTTACAGAGAACAACTCCAGAGCCCATACTTGTCCACGTGCTCCTCAGCCACCCGCGGTGAGCCCTCCAGACCCAAGCTGGGTGTGCCTTGGGACCAATCCCCCACTTCATCTACCACACCCTCCACATGCACCCTTGAGGCCAGCATACGTTACTCGTAGCAACACAGCAGAGTAGTGCAAAACAATAAATTTTTATTTGTTCACAGTTAAACACAAGCAACTGCCTTGACATTTTAGAACATCCTAAGGACAGCAAACCCTTTTGATTCCAACTCCCGTTCACTGAGATTGTACCATGTTCTCTTGCAATTCATAGCTATGGCATCCAACGTGGACTGTTTGACATGCTTTTAAGATCAAGGCAGGAAAGTTTAAACCTTTTGACAAGAAGTGACTTTCTTCCATTTAACTAAAAGCAGTCTGTTTAAAAAATCGAATTCTGTTCACTGATGGGATCCCTTTAAACTGCAAGTTACCCACATATGGTTCATCCATGATTGAGTTACGAAACTAGATTTTAGCTTAGCAAAACCTGTTCCTCTGTAATGGATCTGTGGTCCACAGACGTCTTCTGAGGAGAGATCACTGACTATTCCCAGCGCAAAAGGCCTGGCTGCCTCTCTGGCGAGCCAGAGCAGTGCCACAGCACCGCACCCTCCCGTCCAAACACTGCAAGGCTTATGTGGGGTCCTGGGTTCTCCTCGCAGAGATCTACTCTAATGGCTACGCCAGCCCGCTTTCCCAGACGGAGGAAAATGTGGCAGCACCAGGAAGGGGCACAAAGCTCCTCAGCTTTCATTAACTCCTCTCAGGGCTGGAAGTGGTGGGGGTGCGGGGAATGGGGTTGGGCGTGCAGGAAACGGGATTCCTGTGTAGCTGCAGCCACTCTTCTCTCTGGCGAACATTTACATACTGCAGGACCGTGTGGCAAAGATGGGAACACCTGCTGCCCCAGGCTCACTGGGGAGGTGCAGATGGGGAGTCAAGCCATGGGAACAAGGACTCTAGGAGCAGCCTAAGGGCCAGGCCCTGACCTGAGCAAAGCTCACTGAGAGCCATCGTGACTTCGCAGCAGTCTGGGGCAGGGCTGTGTGTCACAGGACTCCGGATATGAACAGACCGGACATTCTCAGGCTGGGTTCATTTTCCAGCCCTCCTGGAGGTCAATCTAGCCCGTGGAGACAAGGCACACACAGGGGTGAGCCGGGTCTTTGCACGCCCGGGAGCCGGCCTCTCTGGTGGGCGGGGCTTGTGCTGTGCCCACCGCCCCAGCACGTCCACGCTGCCCCCACTGCTTCGTGCTCAGCAAGACACGCCAAGCATCCTCCCTGGCACTTCTGTTTGCCCTCCAGTTCTCTCTGGCTCCCGTGGTAGGTTCTGGTGTTTGGTGGCCATTTCCATCGGCCAGTCACCGCGCACTCGCTTTACTGTCAGCACAGAAACCTGTGCCCAGCTTTCTACTCTCAACGCGAGGTGGAGCTCTGTGCTCCAGCCCACGGACCCTTTCCCCCACAGCCACTGCATGCCTCCTCTGATCTGCTGCTGTTTCATCTTTCTCAACAAGAGCACTGGAAAGTACAAGCTGCTGCCAATGTTCAGTCTCGGCTTTGTGGCTTTTTATCTTGCTTTTGCCCAGGGAAGTTCTGGCCTCTGACTATGGTAGGGAGGTTAGGAGGAAGCTAATTTTTCTAATTGTCAGTGGCTTCCAGGAGCATTTCCTGGGCTGACAAAGTACCTTCTAAGAATGGTTTGGACCGCTGGCCCCAACCACATCACATACAATAAGCACCTTCTGCAGCATATTCCTGGCGGCCAGGCAGCCTTCTCTCCCGGAAGCTGCTGACAAACCCAGGAAGTCACTAGGCCTGCTTCAGTGACACTGGTCTGTGCACTCATCGACAAGGACTTCTCAAAACCTCCGGAGCCAAGAAATGACCCTAACACCCCCTACTTCTGAGTTTGTTTCTCATAATCATGACCATATATTTCTCCTAATTCTACAGTAACAATTTTTATAGATTTTATGGTGCAGCCTTAGCAGCAGCTTCTTAAAACCCCACGAAAGGCTCTGTCAGAGACACATGCTTATTTCCTGTATCAGCAGCTCCAGGAGCTCATTTCCTCTGTACCTTCCTACTCCTTTTCCTTCTTCCTCCATGCCCCAAATAATGTTGCAGTGCTTCTTTTTAAACAGATTCATGCTGAATGAGACACAGACCTAGGCTCCCTGGGGCCCTGCTACCCTGGCTGATGCCAGGAGTTAAAGTTATGCATCTTCGCTTTCACAGCGCGGGAACACAGTGATATAGGATGGAGGCCACCCAACCCCAAAACTAGACACCAGGCTAGTTAATCAGTGCCAAGACAGGCTCTGCACGCCACTAACTGTCCTGATACCCTTGTCCAGGCCTCATTTGCCTTTCAGGAGTTCCTCTCCTACCTATCGCCTTTCTGCCCTTAAAACGACTGCCTGCAGCGCCAGCAAGTGATGCAGTATCTGGCAACACATGGACTATGGACAGGTCTATCACTTTCCAAGCGAGGGCAAACTCTACCGTCGACAATGGAGTCCTGTGCACCATAAAAACCTGTGCTTTTGATAGAGTAACTTCACCATGGCCCCAGGTATCAACCTCCCAAGCTCAGCTGAATAAACCCATGGCCTCCTAGAGCACAAAGGAGCGTGAGCTGGACCAGGCCAGGTCCACCCAGGCTTGTAAAGCTGGGGAGACAGAGCCCTGGAGTGGCCGCAGAGCCTCACTGTACTACACCGCCTACTTCCTTCCCTGTAGTTCACAATCTGTCCTTTTAAAAATCAATTTGTTTTTCTTACATTCTCCTTTACTAATTAAGGAAAAGGCTTCAAGGTAAATTCCTTTTATCTTTGTTCTGTGGCACAGATCTCGTAGGCTTGGGAAGGAAGAAAGCACTTAAAACCGATTTCAATGGTTAATCTGTAACATTTCCTTGCTGTTCTGAATTTGTTCACGTTGTCCTTTTCTAATACGGAACCAGAAAGCTAGGATGTATTGGATTGTAAGCTTTCCTTTGGACAAAGCCGCATTAAAAGTGTGGCCTTACTGGTACTTCGACAGCACCAGCGCTGGGCTCTGTGGGCTGAAGCAGCAGGGCCATGCCTTCCCCTCCCACAGACTGGGTGTCAGTCACACAAGTCCTGTCCCCAGCAGGTCTTCATCACTATCACCATGGTGACACGGAGTCTCTAAAGGCCTGGTTTCTTTCAGTCAGGGACGCTAGGATACCTAGTATATGTGCTGCCCAAGAGAGCACGAGGGATGCTAGGATGCTCATTGCCGCACCTTTAAATAAAGACTTTCCCCCTGCACACGCTGGAAGCCAAGATTTCGTACCATTGGTTTCTATTTCTCAAGGTTGAACCCTTCTTTTCTCTGAAAGAACACAAACAGGGCTCTTTTTTGCCAAGTTGCTCCCGGGCCGGGCTGGAGTACCAGGCAACTGCTCTTAGGGTGCTAGTGTTTATTTAGGAGCATCTGCTGGGTTTGGGTCCCCTACTGCCATCAGTGTCTGACTGGTGTCCCTTCTCGTGAGCACGTGGGGCAGCCCAGTGGGGACAGGCAGTTGGCCTTTCCAATACTCCCCCAGAATCCGCTTTCGGTTGCTCTGTCATTCCTAACATGGGGGAGGATGACAACATCAAGCTCCTGAGAGAGCCAGCTCTGAAAGTCAGAAATGGTGTGAAAAAGCTACCTTTTTGGTGGCCCGGAACTGACAGTAGTGAGGCAACCCTCAGCCTGAAAGACATTCACGTAAGCTCTGAGGCAACTCTGGACTTTCACGGCCTCTCTGCTGCAGTGCCTGAAGCAGGTGACACAAAAGAGGCACAGGGAACTCAAGGGAGGAAGGCAGCCCGACCGAAGGGCTAAACCAAAGGCTCAGCTACAAGACAGCAGCCCAGAGGCATGGCGCCACATGCCCAAGAGCTCCTGGGGCCTCTCCAAGTGACCTCCCCACAACCCAGGGCACAGGGTCGCTGCCCTCACGCCAGCCTGGGCTCAGCATGGTACCAGCGTTCAAGCAAACACCAAATAAATAAGAGGTAGTGGGGGAAGGAGGGACAAGAGCTTTCCCAAAGGGCGGGGGCGTGCGGCCTCCACAGCGGCAGCTACCCTTGTGAAACAACCGGTGCTTGTTCACACGCAACTTCCTCGATGTGTCAGAACCACCAAAGGAAAGGAAGGACGAAGGAACCCTCGTCCTGCTAGATCTGCTGCTGCAGATGCTGCACTGCAGAACCAAAACTCGGGACAGTCTCCCACAGATGCTTCCACACGAAGACACTCAGCTCTGCAGGCCACAGCCTCACAGGAGGGACACACTGGACTTACCTGCAAGGCTGCCAACTGCCTGGTCTAACCGAGAGCCACCCAGTGATCTGAGCATCAGGAAAGCAGAGTGCTGTCAGACTCAGAGGTGGAATCTGGCCTCCTATTGCACAGGTCCAAAGGACACAACCATTTGCGGGGGAGAAGGAAGAAAACAAAGCTACTGAGGAGCACCAACTGGCCCTCGATTAGTACACACTGATAGGTAAATGAAAGGGTTAGGGGCAGGGCGAGGGGAAGGTGAAGAGGCTTTTCAATGCCAGATCTGAAAACCGCCTGCACTCTGTCAGATGTCAAAGGGACCTCTGTCCCACTTCCACACTTGAGCAACCACTCAGACCCTGGAGACAGGAACGCCTTGAACATGCACTCACACCTCCTGTTCTATGCCACCAAGATGCAGGATAACACTGACTGAGCTCCCCTTAGCTGTGTTCGTGACGAGCCTCATTGTAGTCCATGATACGAAGCTGTCCGACACTGTCCAGGCTGGGGGGAGAAGGATGCGGGCCGTCTAGGTTCAGGGAAGTCTTGGCTTCCACACCCGAGTCTTTGCCCAGGTCTGTCTTTAGGCTCTCGGGGAGGCTGCAGATGCTCATGCCGTCCTCATCACACTGGCTCTCACTCTTGTTTCGAAACAACTCTCGGGCCTTCATGCCCAGAAAGCTTTTTGAACTGGGCAGTGAACCGACAGTTGGGATGCTGGTGGTGGGCTCACCCACAGTGGCTTCCCTCCGACTGCTGAATGGGCCCGCCCTCTGGCTTGGGGGTTTCTCTGGGGTGGAAAGCTCACTGCTGCTGCTGCTGCTGCCACCGCCTCCAGCTCCTCGGCCTCCACTGCTCCCCCGCATGCTGCCAGGCCCAGGGGTCTTGGTCTCACCATTGTGCCCAGATGCCTCTTCCTTGTGCCCTTTCATGGGATCTGAGCAGCCATCATAACAACAGTCAAGCCTGCAAGAAATCCAGGGAGGAAAAAGGAGTTGGTGACTCTGACGCCCATGTTTGGGAGATGTGGAATTGCACGGTACCCGCTCCCAATGAACCAAACTCTGCTGGCCTGCTCTGCTGTGTAACAGCGAAGCCAAGCAAGAGATGGCATAGAGAAACCTAAGTTACAATGAGGGATCCTCGACGGGAATCTGTCATGTGAATGGAGGACCATGTGATGCAAGCTGGAAGCAGAGGTGGGAAGACCACTGGGCATTGTGAGGAAAGGTGAGGTGGGGTGGTTCTCTGAAAGAGCACTGAAGCCCTGAAAGGCTGTAACTGCCACTTCCAATGTCATGCAACACAGTCCTGGCTCTGCTAGTGGCAGCTTTGTTGAAAGGCCAGGTGTAACTCTTGGCTCCTACCTTTCTTCTGCAGCTTCTGCTGCCTCTGGTTTTTCCTCTTCGAGTTTTTGCAGGAGGCCGTCTTTCTCCAACCTGCCATACAAGTCTAAGATCTCCAACTCGAACACCTGTGTGATCCTTTTCTGAGCCTCATACCTGCTCTCCGCAGCCTGCAGCTGTCCTCTGAAAGATACAGACCCCCCCGCCCCCAGAAGATGGGAGGCTGCCCTTAGCAGGGTGCCACTGCCCCAAACCTTCCTTACAGAGATTACCTAGCCTGGGCCTTGACATCCTCCAGGTACTTCTTCTGCTCCAGGAGGAGGTGGTCTTTCTTGGCCAGATGAGACTCCAGTTCCGAAATGCGTTTCTGAGAAGTATCCAGCCTCTGATTCTGCTGGAGAACGTGGCTTCTGTTTTTTTCTAGTTCTTTCCGGTACGCGGCTTTCATCATTTCCACTTCCTAAGAGACTGCAGTTAGTACTTAGAGAAAATGAAAGCTGTCATAAGCTTTGAGAGGTGCTTCAGCAGTTCCCCAGCGGTGGAAATATAAGCAAGAACAACTCCTGGAAAGTAAGCTGGTTAGGTGCTAACCCAGAAACCCTTCCCTGAAGTCCAACTCGAAATAATCTGACTGTAAACAGATATTTTGTACAAAAATAATAACCACGGTGTATTTGTAAGAGCAAAGAACAGCAAACACCACAACGGGGAAGCAGTTACATAAAGTACATTTTGTATCTGTAAGCTGTTAGAAAGGATATGGCATCAGTAAAAGATACAAAAGCAGACTATAGAACAGTGAGCCGAGCAAACACACACAGAGGCACATACCTAGTGACATGTGCCAATGTTCACAGATATGACAGTGTGGGTTATTTGCTTTCTATTTTATGATTTCCCCTCTCCTAACAGCAGCTGAGGAAGAGCTAGAGAAGGCCACAAGAATGGAGCAGGTCTGCTCAAGAGAGGCAGCACGTGCAGGCTGGATCCCCTGACGTGATCTGTCCATCATGGCCAGGTGGATGGGCTCCCTGTAGCTGCAAACCCAGGGCAAGCGTACACTACTGTGCAGAATAAAGGTGGAAAGGGTAATTCTCTAGCAGCATATGGTATGCGTGTGTGTACTACGGTAAAGTGTATATAACATAAAACTCATAGCCACACGCTCGCTTTCTAAACAGGCAGTAAACCACAAAGTGCAAGGAGGTGAACTTTCATGAAGGGCCCTGGCCTTGAAACGGAGCAGCAGACACAAGTTTCCAGGGCACAGACTGCGAGAGATGGAAGGGCCAGCCAGCTGTGAGACCATGCGGCCACTCCAGCTGTGCTAAATGGCTGCAGACATCAGCACAGGTGAGGGTGTGGTCACAAGCAATAGCAACCAGCCCTCCACATCCACGGACTCAGCCAACCACACATGGAAAATGTTCAGAAAGAAACTGTCTGTACTGAACATGCAGACTTCCTGTCCCTCCCCTACATGAGACAGTGTAACAACTATTTACATAGCACATTCACTAGGTACTAAGTAACCCAGGTATGATCAAAGTGCATGGGATGGTAGTGTGGGTCATAATAAGCAAAAGCTATGCCATTCTACATAAGGGACGCTCTGGAGCTGACCTCCAGGGATACCGAGGACAACTGTATTTATTTATGGCTAATCACCCAGGGAATTGCGTCCAGAAGGTTCATGGGGTCACAGTAACCTTTGCCAGCCAGTCGGCCATTCCCACCTGATTCTCAGACACCTGGCCCTCCTCCCTGCCGGCCTGAACGACCCCACCCCAGCTCCAGGCCCAGGAGGAAATCCCAGCTGGCTGGGGGTGCAGATGGTACAGCTGTGCACACGACTCAATCTGGCCAACAAGGGCCGCTCGAAGTATGCAGAGTCTTCTGGGAGAGGTCTCCCAGCAGAGCGAGGGTCAGAAGAGATGCTCTCCTCTTCCTCAAGACACAGGTATCCAGCCGGGACAGGTGGTCTCAGGGACTACCTGGCAGCCATGGCAACAACTGGGCAGAAGACAGAGCAGACAGCACAGGCAGGACAGTGAAGCAGCGTCAGAGTCTGGCTCCCTGATGCTGTCCCAACCGCCAACCTGAGCAACCTGGAGCTCGTCTGCCTCGGGACTTCTTGTCAAGTGAAACAATAAAAGGCCTTGTTGTGAAGCCATTTTGGCTTGTTTCCTCCATCTGGTTTCCAAGCGAAGGCATCCTAATATGAGTCAGCATCATCATTCTTGTTTTACGTGAAACAGGTGCCAGAGCATCCTCGGATGCCCAGCAGCAGCCCGCACCACAGAGCCTTCCCCTCTACGCCTCTCCAGGGAGGCATCAGCAATGCCCCCAGCAAGCTCTTTCAGAGGGTCTTCCCACCTTCCTTCTCCCAAAACCATCTAGAGAAAGTTCCACATGTAACATCCTTCTAGGAGAAGTCTGAGAGCTGAGTCCAAGACTGATTTTTTTTGGTGTCTACATTTGTCCAAAAAAGACACTTTACAAAGCATAAGCCCAAGAAATCCTGAAGAGAGGCCCCTGTGTGATGGAGAAGCTGTGACAGAAAGCATCTGAGCATTTCCTACTAAAATTCTATTCCCAACTGGCTCAGCAGCATTACCCGAGGCTATTTATACTGACACGGAACTTCTGTCCTGATACCGCTGGTGAGGCACTAATTAACATAAGATCATCCTGTCACTGGCCTTGCTGCCAGGACTGAACGACCATCAGCAGAAATTAGATTCAGCATGAAAAGGAAGAGAACACGATATGCATGTGGTGTGTACCAGGACATACCCACAGTCCCGAGCGGCACGTCTCTCTCTGCAGGACGAGAGGGGAAGCACCTTCACACCTGTCCCTGCAACTACCCTACCAGGTTCCTTATGTACAGCAGGCTCCATTTCAGAGCCACCCAGCAAGGGGACACACAAGCACACGCACACAACCGCTGGATAGTGCCTGTGTAGGGACAGGGAGAAGAGGGGTGGACACACTGCCTGGGCCTGCAAGCCTGTCCTCCCAAGCGCCACATACCTTGGTAGTGTCCGAGTGCTTGTTCTGCAGCTGTTCCAAATACAGCTCGTTGACCTCCCCGAGCACCAACAGCTGCCTGTTCAAGAACTCCATCTGCTGCTGCACCGACTCACTGTTGGAGAGCTGACCAAAACACACACACTGTGAAAAGTCCAGCTCCACAAAACTGGAAATAGACGTTAAACAGGAAACCAGCTAAGGCCACAAGAGTCCAACAGTGGGGCAGAAGAAGAAATTCCCGTGGTTTCCAGTTCCCCAGGATTATGGCTAGTGGGCAGAAATGCACTTCAAAACGGTGCTATGCCAAGGGGAAGGAACTGTGTCAAACTGATCGCCACAGGACACTTGCAGCAGATGGACAGGTACACTGCCACGACGGCAAGGCCATCGGGTCCGCGGACGAAAGCCCAGGGACATTCACGTGCTGTGATCACAGTCGGAACCCTAGCACACTTTCACGCTTATGTGCACGAGTACTGAGAAAGGGCCCCACAGGGTGCACGTGCCTAGCTTAGCAGGTGCCTTTTCGGGGGTGCTGTCTGCACACTGCAGCACATCTGGCAGCACCCTGGCCCCTACCTATGAGCTGCCAAGCACCAAAAACATCCCCTGACGTTGGCCAACGCCATCTGACGGCAAGAGGGGGTCACTCTCTGCTGGGCCCAGCATGGGCAGTCAGGGGACACAGCTGTCCCACCTGAAGGGAGAGGGGAGGCAGCGTCCCCTCCCCGCTTACCTTCTGAGAGACCTGACTGAGCAGAAGCTCGGTGTGGCACACCTTGCTGTTGGCCTTCTTCAGCTCCACCCGCAGCTCCGCAATCATGCTCCTGCAGTCCTCCAGCTTTGTCTACCCAAACACAGGTGCTCATGAAGCTATGGCAGCACCGGCAGCCCGCCTGGCCGCCAGCCCTTGCAGAGCCAGGAGTGCCCAGCTCCTCAACTGCTCTCCTATTCTGGGCCATCAGCATTTGACTTCTTTGTCTTAAAAAGTAAGTTGTGGTTGATTTCTAAATCCCTTACTATTTAATAAAAACAAAACAAAACAAAGAAAAAAAGACCTTAGTTCCCAATCTGCACGCTGAAGAGCCCTGGGACTGCAAGCAAATGCACGGGGTGTTGCGGAGATGGTTTATGTCTCTGAGGGATGCACAGTGACATCTGTGGGACATGATGTGAACTACTAATTAGCCACAGGCAGCTGCTGGCTCAACGCTGGGTCACGCTGTGTGCCTGGACGAAGCCGTATTTCTGCAAGCTGGGCTTTGGGTGGCTGCTACGGTACGAAAGGACCATGAGAAACCAGTGTGAAACATGAAGTGAGGGTGCTGCTGTCCACTCTGACTCCAAGGCTGGGATCTGTGTCCCAGATGCACACGGCCTTAGTAACTGCAGTTATTTAAATTTTTTTTAAAAATGTAAGTGTATGTGTATTATTTTCAAACAGCTATTAAGCTGTCAGGACACTAACATTTGCTGAGCTGAGTAGACTCCTCCATGGTGGAACTATCACATGCTTCTTCGGGCTCCACGGTGAACATGATACTAAGGGAGGTATGAACTAAGAAAGCTGGGGAACTTCTGCCTCCGTAAGATGTAGTGACCTGAATCTATCTACCGTGATCTCAGAGAGTGAAGTATTCTTCGTAGGGGAGCTGACCAAGGGACAACATGTAAGAGGCACTCCTGCCACCCTCCCAGCGGCTCTCAGGCCCCTCTACCTACTGTGCCCGGGCTGCGGTCTGTACCTGGAGTTCCTGGCTCTGGTTGTAGAATTCTTCTCGGTCATGCTGCAGCTGTCTGATCTGGCTGTGGAGCTGGGTCACCACAGTGTCACGCTGCTCCTGCAGCTGACTGTACCTGGCTTGTTCTTTCTGCAGACTCACCTTCCACATTTGGATGTCTTTTTCTTGTAACTTCAGCTGATCTTTCTAGCAGAGACCAGAGATACCATCATTTTAGCTACCATCTGACATGGGCAACGAGCCATAAACCTTCTCCACACTACCTGGAACTGCAACTACAGACACAGAGCCTGACGGCTCTTGACTGTCTTACTGGGGTTTCAGTCAAGGTCTGCCCAATTTCACATTAGCTTTTCTCAGGGACCAAGTTGTTTCCCATACTTTTAAAAGTCCTAACCACCAACAGCAGAGTAAGACCTCTACTACATGGTCCTGATTAGTTCCCTGAAACACCAAACATTCACTGGACACTTACATCCTGTGAGGCTCAGGGAAGCACTTACTGATATCATTTCTTTGAATCATCAGAACTTAAAAACGAGGTGCCACTATTATGATTTCTCAGTGCTGCTATTACAATTACTCACTTTACAGAATTGGTAACAAGGTTTCAAGAGGGCAAATTTTCCCCCTAAGATAATAAACTAGTAGAGCCAATACTTCAACTCCAAATCTCACTGGCTTTATATCCGCAGCACTGTACACTTTTCAATTCTATGCCATGAAATAGCATTAGGAGAACTGGTTGCACACCTGGAAAGATAAAATTCCCTTTCAACCCTTTCATCGTCATAGCAAGCAAACAAACACAGACAGTCCTTTGTCCCCTGGGTTGAGAGCTAGAAGGGAATTCTGTGGTCTCGCCATCTGCAGCTAATCTCAGAGACTGAGTGGCCCCGCCCCAGCCACCCCAAGACCAGGGCTGGAACCGAGAGCTCTGGCCTCCCTTGGTGGCTGTTCTTTAGGCTGCCATCCTGACACAAGGCAAAACAAACAGGAAGGCCAGCGTCCCAGGTCCTCACCATAGCAGCATTGTGCTCCTCCAGGGCTGCTGCCCTGATCACCTTTCGGAGGAGCCGTCTGTTCCGGAGAGCGTGCTGCTGCCTCTTAAAGCGCTCATAGAGTAACTGGTTGTGCAGTAAAAGCAACTGGTCTCGGAGGGTGCGGATCTCATCTGAGGGAGGAGAGCCTGGTTTTAAAGCAGAGGGAGAGCGGAAGAAATGTCTTACCTATAGCTCCATCAAGCCCCTCCTGTATGAGTCTAAGAAACAATTCTTCCAAATATAAACTACTTTTCAAGTGACCACCGTTAGGAGGGAGGGGGCATTTCCCAGCTACCTCCACTTATAGGGATGCCGAGGTTGTGCCAGTGGGAGGGCGCTTCAAGGGCTGCTCTCCTTCCCCACAAACCTGATCTCTCTCTCTCTCTCTCTCTCTCTCTCTCTCTCTCTTTCTCACACACACACACACACACACACACACACAAACACACACACATACAGGTGCACACACACACATTTCAGACTCCCTGGCTCTCTGCAGGATGCACCTAAACTGCTGTGTTCTCCCCAGGGAGGTTCTCGGGACACTCACACCACTTTTCTAGGGGGGCCTGGCACGAAGGCTGCACTTCAGCTTCCAAGCACATGCTACTGCCATGTTTCACAAAGTGGAAATGCTGACTTCGAACACTTGAGATTCCCTGGCCAGGCAGATAAGCTGGCTGGAGGAGGACCGAGGGGAGATGTTTCCCATAGGGCACCTCCTTCAAGGACAGAAAAGGTGACATGCAAGCAGGAACCAGTGGGGCTGGATATGGTGCTAAAGTAACAACTTTACCTCCAAAGTGGGTCCAGTCGACAGACTTGCTGGGTAAGGACAACCTAGGAATAAAGTTTTGGGGAATGAAGGTATTGATGTGATCTAGAAAAAAACTCATTTGGACACTTAACTGCAGCAAGGTTGGATCATTTACTTGTCCTCAGAATCCTCAAGGGCCTAAGAAAACGTCAAACTCCAAGAGCACACAGAGTTGGAGGTGTGGCCTTAGCAGACAGAATGGGCACCACGCACGGCCAAATCCCCAAGGAGGAGCCCCACCACGTGCTCCCCCACCTCAGTGTGGCTTGCTCCTTGAGGTCAGTTCTCCAAGGATGAGGAGGAGCTGTTTCCACCCCTCCCCGCGGAATACACAGGGAATAGCTCTCCTTTGAGAAGCTACTTTCACCCACATTTAAGAAAAAGCAGTTCACTTATTATATAGCCCATTACACCAAATCTAATTTAAAAAGAAGAAGCTTTTCAAGGCATGGTGACTCATGTCTGTAATCCCAGCATTCAGAAGGCAGAGGCAGGAGGATCGATGTAAGTTTTAGGCCAGCCAGGGCTACATAGACCAGCCTAAACTACACAGCAAGACTCTGTCTCAAAAACAACAAAAAAAGAAGTTTAAATATTATAATTCCTGTCAGATTCCACCATGGGATATTATATAGAAGACAGAAAAAAACCAACATTTTTTCCGAGAACCTGTATGGAAACAGCACAAGGTCCACACTACGGACAGCTGAGCCCCCACCCCTTCCCCTGACACCTCTGAAAGGAGCAAAAACGGTGTCTCTAAGAGCCCTGTGTGGCAGGGGGGCCATTCAGGCCACTTGAACTTGCATAAAATGCGCATGATCCAATCTTTACCCCATGAACCACATTACCAAAATGTAACCGAATAATCTGTACTCAGAGGGGAGCTGCTATGTTCTTTGAGATACCAGGAGCTCATTTTCAATCTCCATCCTCACAGGACAGTGGCGCAAATGGCCTGCACCGCAGCTGACACTCTGGGGGCCTTCCGAGCCCACACGCTGCGTGCCCGCACACTGGAAGGATGTCGGCTGGAACATAAGGGAGCCAGCACCTCCAGGCTAAGCGGGAGGAGGGAGTCGGGCTCCCACCCTCAGGCTGGGCGCACTGTTTAGTAAAAACTGGGATAGGTTGCACAAGGTCGGCAGCCGGCTTACTTGCTAAGCTCCTTGCTGTGTGCGTCTGCTCCCTGCTGTATCAGTCTATCCAGTACTTCCATGGGGGAGGTAGAGGGCGCGGAGTCTTCCTCGGTGCTTCCTTTTGCTTTCTTTAACAGCTCCTCCGTCTTCTTGCTGACAAAGTGACAGGCAGTCTTTGGCAAGGCCACCTCAAAGAGATGATCATATGGGGGAGGCTGCCCACTTCCAAAATCCACTCCCCGTTGAGGTGGAATTTTGCAAGGGCTGGGAGTGAGAATGCTGGTTGCCAGGGAAGTCTGGGGGGCCCTGTCCCCTGCAGGGCTGGTGTCAGCTCCGCCACAGGGCAGGTCTATGGGAGTAAAGGCTTGCTTTGGTGTGTCGGGCCCAAGCTTGTCCAGGGAGGAGTGTAGAGGCTCGGGGTTCGCAATGGAGCCCTGCATCCCAGAGGCAGCTGAGTGTGTCTTCCGCTGAGAGCCCGGGAGACTGTCTCCGTAGAAGGGAGAGTCAAAGCCCCCTCGAGGAACCACAGGCTCCGCCTCTGCTGGGGTGATCTCAGAAAGCTCTTTAGATATTGCGGCTGAAAGGAAACAAGGAAGCTCCAGTGAATGCTGAACGGGGCAAGCCTAAGCAGCGCCAAGTACCCGGGGCATTCCTTCACCCGGGGCATTCCTTCACCCAGCACGGGCCCTACCACACAGCGCTGTTCATGGACAGAAGGAAATCAAGCGAGCCCTGGAGCTGACCCGAGCACTCAGTTCTGGGACAAAACCAGGGCCGAGCTTCATCTCACAAAAACCCCACATACACGTTACCTTCCTCCTTATCTTTTTCGATACTGTCTTCCTCCGAGGCCAGATCACCTAAGAAGCCCGGCAGATCACTCAGAGTGACAGAGCCTTTGGGGCCAGGCAGCTCTTCTGAAGAGAGATAGAACTCAGTCACACACATGCTGACTAGTCTCTGCAGGTGTGGGGGATGAGACTCACAGCAAATGGCTCCGATCACTCTCCCTGCTGAACAGAGGCCTGGAAAGGACTCCGACCTACTATAAAAGCTGAGCTATTCTAAATCACCTAATGGAAGGTGCCAAAAAACCCCACAGAAAACAAAATTCTCAGGCCTTAGTGTCTTCAAGAACAGATAAAGCCATGTGGTCCAATGGCTTAAAACACTCTCAGAGGTACTTCAGGGCACCAGCTTACAAGCTTTTGGGGTGGGGTCCTGGGGCTGAACCCAGGGTCTTGTACTGAGCTACACTCCCAGCCTGTTTGGTAAACTCTGAAACAGCGTCTTACTAAATTGCCCAGGTTGGGCTCCAACCTGCCTCAGCCTCCCAGGGTGCTGGGATGACAGGCGAGCGCCACCACACCCAGCTATCTTAAACACCTTTTTGATGTTATTAATAGTTTAACTTTTAGAATTTGGCACTTGTTTCTTTTGGTTCTAACCTCTACACATCAGCGTTCTGTGGTATTCCAGAATGTCCTTGTTTCTCTCTTGTTTTGAGACAGGGGTATTAACTATACTGCATGCTGGTCTTGAACCCAAGATGTCCTCCTACTTAAGGAAAGCCTCTTGCCTCGGCCTCCTGAGTAGCTAGGACTATAGGTGTGCACCACTTCACTCTGCTTTGGACTCATGCAGTGCAGTCTGAAGCAACAAGTAAGGTGCGTGTTGCCCGGAGGTTTTACCTAAGCCTCTGTCACTGGGAAGGTGGGGCTGCCTGTGGAGACTCGGCCGCGCAGACTCTCCTCTCTCCTCCTGAAAAGATAAGAGTCCTTTGTATCCATCACATGGTGAGATGTGCTCTGCCCCTCTCTGGCACCTTGTAAAGACCATCAAAGAGCCCAGTGCTTCTCAAACTGCCTTTATAGTCTCAACAGAAAAACCCCAAGCTTCTGTTGATGTGGTTAAATCTGTCAACTGTTACTGTATTAGAAACTGAAAAATATTTAAAAATATTTATTGCCTTCAAAAATAACAAATCTGGGCTGGGGATGTAGTTCAGCAGCACAGCACCTGCCCGGCAAGCACAAGGTCCTGAGTTCGATCCCTGGTACCAAAACAACAAAGACAAAAACAGGACAAAAAAAAATCTATTGCTTGTTAATCCATACAACATTTTTATTTTTTAAAAAAACTACACTTTCAAAAAAAATAATAAATCCAGAGTGAAGAATGGAACTGCTCTACATTTTTGTGATCTCTTTATTATCTGGCTTGATGGAAGACAGCCGGGCTCTCCTAGCTGCTTCCACATTCAGTCTGCCCCCAGTGCCAGTCTGTCAGTTTGGCTGATGTGGAAAAACCTGGGTCCCAGCATTCCATGCTTTTCATACACTTGTACACAATTACTGCATCTTCGCTACCACCCCCAAACCTGACAAGTGGTGGTTTCCTAAGAGTTAGTTACAATGTGGAATCTGAAACTCTATGAAGTAACTTTTCCTGTTACGTTAAAAATCCACTGGCCCCCTGCCCCACCTCTCCCAGCTGAGAGGAGGTGAGCCGAGCGGGCACCAACAGCATCCCCCTCCCCCAGTCGAAATGAGAAGACATGTAAATAAGTCTCAAAACCAGACTTCCAGATCACCTACAGCAACCCCAAAGGGAAATGAGATGAAGCACTCTGATACTCA